CTCCATATAGAAAACAATACGACATAGGGCTTATCTTATTTATAATATAGGCCACACACGTGTGTTTGAAACTAAATATAAGCATTTTCCTCATGGTTGTATTTATTATAAACACATTCTTTCACCATATATACACATTGAGGCCCTTCTTTTAGGTTAAATGATCTATCTTAAACTTGTCTTTCTTGAGTTTGGGACTATTATGTGTTTAAATAACTTAAAAGGATAAAACTAAAAAAATGCCCTAAAAAATGCGCGCCAAGCGCGCAAAATATTTTTGTGTTTTTAATTCTAATTTCGTCGGAATTGATGAAAACTATCTAAAATGTGCAATTTATAGAGGAAATTGTCTTACCGTAACAAGATATGCGCGCAAAGAATTTGAGAATTTTAGGCACTTTCTGAGGATGCATTTGTCAAGGAGTGGAGAAAGATTTCCAAAGATGGATATTTCCCCTTGTCCCCGGTGTAGATGTGTATAAGAGACAGCTTTTCGCATCCTCTAAGATAATAAGCGCTGTGCAATTTTTAGAGGAAATTGGGCCATGTTAACAAGAAATGCGCGCGAAATTTGAGGTTTTTAGGCACTTTCAGGGGATGAAAGGGCATATATAAAGGGGGGAAGATTTTTCAAAGATAGATATTTTCTCCTTGTCCCCCAGTGGTTACGCCATCGGGCAGCATAGATCAAAGGAGTTATGACAGTTTTTGAAGTGGAGAAGGGGTTGCATGGGTGTTGTGAGTCTGGTCATTATGATAGCTTCCTTTTTATTCTTGTCTTTATTTTTCTCTTCTCTTTTTCTTTCCTTTTTTTTCCTCTTCTTTCCCTTTCCCTCTCCTTCCCCTCTTTCTTTTCTCTTATTACCCAGCCCGGTACGACGACTTGGTCGGCCCGGTAAAAACCGTCAGGGGAGGGGCAGTTTTCCCCCTGCATCCCCCCCCCCACGCGCCTGTTACGACACTGGCTAACACGCCAATCATCCCCCCAATGAAAAATATTTTTCTACGCCACTGCAACTACCCTATTGTACTGTGCTCTATGACCTAGGAAAGTCTTTGAAAACAAAATGACAAAAAAAAAAAAAAAAAGAAGAATCAGGAATGCAAGTTTGTTTTTTTGTTTTTTTGTTTTTTAAATTCTAAAATAAAATGGAGAAGAAAAGAAAATTATATTCAAATTTAAGTCTGAGAGTACCATTTCTGACAATCTAGAGGTGCCATAATAATAAATTTTCTTACCTCAGCCCCAACCATGGGGCTGAGGTGGTATTTTCCCACTATCTGTGAATGTTCTTCCCTGGCCCCTTTTGTTTTTAATCCATCGCTATAAAAGAGAATGGGTGGGGCTAACATAGACAAAATTGAAGTACACAATTTATGTCGGTCCGCCGCTGGTCTTAACAGATTGGAACTGGCTCCCAGCTTAAAAAGGTTGAATACCTGGGGCTTATGGTAAAGACTAAATCTTGCAGCCACAAGGAACATTACATTTAAATTTCATGAATAATCAATTACCAGATCCGGGAAGCGTGACGGCGCACAGTGGGCCAGAATTGTTTCAAAGTGTGTCAAAAGTCAATACTCATAAGAAAATACTGATTATGTTCATGTTAAGACTGTTTTAGGGGTTTTCAAACCTGCTGAATTCAATTAAACTATTTAAAAATATGTATGACGTCATCAAATTACTGTTTTTTTTTTTTATTGGATGAGTAAAATATTCATTGTAATACCTAGGCAGATTCATATTACCTTGGTTATTAGAACATATAAGGGG